CAGACTGAGAGTCATAAGCCGGAATAAGCTTGGTGCTACTTCTTTGTTTTCTTTATTATTTGCTTATGAAGAATTATAATTGAGAGAAGTATTGTTGAATTAATAATCGTAGAATAGATTATGGATTGAATTAAGATGGAAGTAGTAAGCCTCGATGTTTTATAGTTTGATACTTGATTTCAGATAGCTAAAATACAATCAATTGTGACACTAACAAATCCAATTCATATAATCAGTCTTTTCCCGTGTTCGAATCCACCTCTATTAGTTCAATTGCTTTGGTCTATTGAAGCTTGAATGCAACGAGAATAACATATGTCATTCAAAATTTCTAATAATAGTTCTTAATTTATTTATAAAGAGGAAAGATAGATCATTACAAATATGTATGGACTATTGAGGGCTCAACAAAATCACCATCAGTAATATATATCCTTTATTAGGATTTAAAAATAAATCCAAAAGGCATGACTTAATATTTATGGATCTTTACTTGATTGAATTGATCAAAAAGTCTTAAATATTAAGTCATGCCTTTTGGATTTACAAATACACCAATTACTTTTTAGCATCTCATGAATGATATCTTTTATAAGTTTTTTGATGATTTTATTGTTTGTTATTTAGACAATATATTAATCTATTCTAAGAATATAAAAAAGAATGAAGTTTATGTTTATCATATATTAGAAAAACTAAAAGATGTAGGATTTTATGCCAAACTAGAAATATATATATTTCATACTATTCAAGTTGACTTTCTTGGATACATCATTTCAAATTATGATGGATTTTAAGAAGATTCATACTATAATGGATTGAAAGGTTTCAAATATAATAAAAAATATGTGGTATTTTTTGAGATTTATTAATTACTATTGGATCTTTATCAAGATTTTTTTTCAAGTTGTGATTCTTCTTACTTGTCTAACATGTAAAGACAAATTTATGTAGAGCAAAGAAGCTAAAGTATATTTTGAAGCTTTAAAGATAATATTTATTTATACACCAATTTTATTTTATATTGATTTTTTAAGTCATTATTTATAGAAAAAAATATATTGGACTTTGCTATGGATACAATGTTGTCACAAATAGGAGCAGATCACAAACTTTAACCAATAGCTTTTCATTTCAAGAAATTTTTAACAAAAAATAGCTATAAGGTCCATGTCTAAGAGTTTTTTGCAATTAGAGATTCATTTTAAGAATGACATCATTACCTAAAAGGTACTTCTAATTTAGCCATTGTATATGCAAATCATAAGAACATCAATATTTTATAGTAATATATATTTTTAATTGTTACCGAGCTTGTGGGAGTATGTCTTTATCTTGATTTGATTTCAAGATTATTTATCAACTTAAAAAACAATAAGATTTGTTAAATTCTATTTTTAGATGTTCTTATCTTAAAAAATCAAAAGTAAAAAGTATAATTTTTTATCAACAAAAAAATATTCTTTTGAACCTCAAGAATTTTTATCTTTGACCAAAAATATCAATGTTGACTATTGATTTAACATTATTCAAGCGAGTTCTATCAAATATATCATTTAATTCTCTTATTTATAATAATAAAAATAATTCTTTCAAGTCTTATGATACTTCCAAGTTTAAATTCAAGAATAATCTATTATATTTTAAAAAATAATTATATACTCTAAAAGACAAAGTATGATTATATATTCTTCAAGTTTGTTATAACTTTTCAATAATTGAACTTTTTGAATACAATAAGACTTTAAAATTAATATCTAAAGATTTTTGGTAGCCTCAAATGTGGAGGGCAATTAAAGACTTTGTAAAATCATATGATATTTGTTTAAAATAAAAAATTCCTTGTTATCAAACTTATCAACTTCTTCAGCTATTACTTATCCTAAAATAATCATGGTCTTTTGTTTTTATGGACTTTATTGTAGATCTTTTAATTTTTAATTTTTATGATTCTATATTTGCAGTAGTAGATTTTTTTATCAAGATGGAATATTTTATATCATATACTAAATTTATTACATGTAAAAAAATAATTGAGCTTTTTTTGATAACATCTATTAATATTATGGATTTTCTCAGAATATTTTATTAAATAATGGAACAATTTTTATAAGAATTTTTAAAAATTCGCTTTAAGATTTAATAGATAGATATTAAATTATTTTTGGCTTTTTTTCTTTAAATCAATGGATAAATAAAGTGCATAAATCAAGTTTTAAAGCAGTATTTGAGATGTATCATCAATTGTCAATAAGATCATTGAAAAATTCTTTTGTATTTTTTTTATAATATTATGATACATTCTTCTAGATTATAAATATTTTTTTTATTAATTATAATTATCATCTATAATTTGATGCTTTTGAATTTTTTAAAATTGATAATCCTATGACAAAAAAATTAGCAAATTGTTTATTTGAGCTATATACAACAATGAAGGCATAATTAAAAAAAACTCAAGAACAACAAAATATCAATGTGGATGCCTATCACAAGGAATAACATCAATTTTATATTGGTAACAAGATATGATTATTTTATTGCAATATCAAAACTCGTTGCTTTTGTGACAGGTTAGATTAGCAAAGGCTTAGATTATATCTTATTTGTAAATAAATCAATCTATTTCTTTATTGATTACTCTATCAAAGTCTACAAAGATCCATTTTATATTCCACATGTCTCTTCTTGAACCATATAAGATAGTGAATATTTTAGGAAGAAGATAAATACTACTTCTTTTTATAAAAATAGATAATAATCAAAAATTTATAATAGAAGAAGTTTTAGATTCTAAAGAGCATTAAAATAAACTGAAATATCCTATTTATTAGTAAGGATATGATATTAGTGAATGTATATAGAAGCTAGTCAAGCATCTTATAAATGCAAAAAAAAAATGTCAATGCTTTTCATTAATGATGTCCATCAAAATCAAAATAAAAAATAAAAAATATTTGCCATAAAAGAAATAAGATCTATAGAGCATTACATTCTATTTTTTTTTATTCGTTATTTTTCTATATTTATGATATTGAAGAGATGGAAAATTAATAACCAACATATTCAACTTAAGAATTATCATTTTTCAACTTATTTAATGAGATATTGCGATTATTTCAACCTTTAAGATAATATAATAGAGATAAAGATCCTCAAGAATGATATATTTTTCTTCAAATAGATGGCAAGATATAATGCATTTGATATCACAACCTTGGAAGAAATTCCCAATGTTTAATGATTTTATTAGAAGTAAGAATGGCTCTTGATAGAGTTACAAATGTTTTGTTTGAAAGAAGTTATGAAGGCCTAAACAACAATTAAATAACAAGGTGGTCTTCTTGACATAGAATAGAATATTATTGGTAGTTAAGAAAACCTATCAATTATCTTTAAAAAAAACAAAGATTAAAATGTGTTGCAAATATAATTTTTTGCATCTTGGACTTTATCAACATATAATCCTAATTCTTCTTGGAACTTGTTGTTAGAAGAGGAAATAATATTGCAGATATATATATATATATATATATATATATATATTTACTCCAATAGTTACTCAAATAATATGAATAAATAAAAATAAATTAAATTAGATAAATTTGATAATATTTTTTAGATAAGCTTCTTAAAAGTTTCATAGTTGCAACTTTGACTTTAAACATGCTTGCTATTGTTTGATAGGTTAGAAACTTATTCAACAAATTTAACTATGTGTTGCAAATGTTAATAACTTGCGATACAAGTTAACTATGTAGTTTACATATAGAAAATTTGCATTAAAAGTTAAAACACGTATTTTATAAATTAGACACATATTAAAGGTCTTACAGGATGTTGCTATGTAGCTTTTAGTTAAATAATATATATGGAGGCAAGAGTAAAACTTTCTTCATTCTTATCAATGCTTTTCTAGTCTTTAGTCTTATTTTAAGCCTTTATAATTTTCTTATCTTTAACAATAGCCATTCTAGTTTAACATTATATCATCTTTTAATGATTATCAATTTTCTTTTATGTGATACAAGAATATATTGATCTTTTAGTTATTTGAGATTTATGTCCTTTATACACGTATAAGGCTACAAGAATCAATTAAATAAATAAATATGTATATATATATATATATATATATGAGAATGTTAAACAAATTTGAGATTTTACTAAATGAATCTACCTATGACAAAGAATATGATAATAATAATGAATATAGTTGATTTTTATTGGTTGTAGAATTAAAAAATAAATAAATAAATCTAGAATTCATTATTTTTTTATTTTTTATTATTTTTTTTTGATGGTTAGGATGGATAAATTGATTCAATTAATATAAATGATTAGTTCTATTTAATCTTTTCTCATATATAATTATATAATTATTAAATAGATCTAATTTTTTATTAAATAAACCTAATCATGATAAAGAATATAGTAATCATGATGGATATGGTTGGTTTTTATTGATTTTGGATCCAATGAATTAAGATTTATTTATTTATTTATTTATTTATTTTATATAGTTTTTTGAAAAATGATGGTTAAGATGGATGGATAAATTTAATAAAAGTGTGAATATATTTTAAATATATATATATATATATATATATATATAAAAAAAAATTTTTCTTTCTTTTTATAAGCATATAATTACACAAAAAATTGACTATTTAATTGTAAATTTATTTTTGGTGCATTGAATATAATTTAATAAACATATGTATACGCACACATAGTAGTATAACATGTAAAGAGTAGTCCAATTTTTACACAATACATAAAGAATTCAAAAAACATTGAGAGTTTGCTTTCAGTGGAGATTTTATAAGAAACTCGTCAATAAATTGATATAAACGATACGTTCTAGAGTTCAACTGAGTTCCCCAAAGTTCAGAGCTCCATGACGCGTTCCCGATGAAGGCTCATTTCGACCGTCAATTCTCATTGGAACTGGGACCGTAGGATGGGGAATTAGGGTTTGGAGCTCGTGTGTGCAACCAGGGTAAGCCACAGCAATGTCCAACCGAGGGCTCTTTTCGCAGCCTTCGCTTGCATCACCCCTCGCGGTCAGGCTCCCAGTCCTCTCAGCCACCATGAGTGCCGAGCAAGCCCCTGCTGTTGTGCCCGAGACGCTCCTCAAGAAGCGCAAGAGGGACGAGCAATGGGCTGCTGCCAAGTCCTCGCAGCTTGCCGCTGCCAAGTCCCGGAATGCTAAAAACCGAACCCTCATTTTCAAGCGTGCTCAGCAGTACCAGGAGGAGTATCAGAGACAGGTGAGGCGGTTGCGAAAGGATTTGGGTTCTTAGTCGATTGCGGGGGCAGCTTAGACTGTTGATCATTGTTCAGTAGACGAGGTTGGGTTTTAGGGTTTAGTGACAATGCTGAGTTTATGGCTTACGAGTGGATAGGAAATGCCATGTTAAGGTCATTACAAACCTTAAGTTTGTGTCTTTTCAGATTGTGTTTGTTGTTTGCTGCATAATCGATTGTTTTTTGGTTAGGTCACGTGTCAGATTACCGGCCTTATTGGAATGCGCATGACCTAATGTTAATTGAACCTGGCAATAGTATGTCTTCAACTTCTTCCTTGTCTACATAGTGTTGAGCACCTTTGCGGGTTAGAGCAAGTTCAAGATACCCACACGTATTTCTTGGCATGTGCCTCCAGGGTAGTTTGTTTTGTTGCCCTTGCGAGTTGGATATTTTGTTCGATCTCCTAAAGCGTTTCTGTTGTACAGGAGAAGGAATTGATAAGCTTGAAGAGGGAGGCTAAGCTCAAGGGTGGATTCTATGTCGAGCCTGAGCCCAAGCTTATGTTCGTCGTCCGTATCCGTGGGTAAGTTCAAGCCCGAATTGAATTTTTGCCCGATGTATCTATTCCTCCAGAAGCAGTTGTAATGCACTTAGGCAATCAGCACAGATTAGTATTTCTTTTTTTCCACGATCAATTTCCTGTTTAAATTTCTCTCTAATTATGTTCCCTTTTTTTGAGGTGGAATGTTGTAGAGGAGTGCTGACTTCTTTTTTTTCTTGTTGATCTAGTATCAATGACATGCACCCCAAGGTCAGGAAGATCATGCAACTGTTGAGGCTGAGGCAGATCTTCAATGGCGTATTCATGAAGGTGAACAAGGCTACCGTGAACATGTTGCGCAGGGTTGAGCCATACGTCACTTATGGGTGAGTTCGATATCTCTATGGATTTTGTAAGAATTGAAGGTAGCATCATTACTTCGATTGAAATCGGCGTTTAGGGAATCGGTTTAAGAAAACCATTGCTAAACATTGACTTGGGCCGTACACAGCAGCAACACTTATTGGACTTCACTTGTTTTATTCAGGTATCCCAACTTGAAAACTGTCCGGGAGTTGATCTACAAGCGTGGTTACGGCAAGCTTAACAAGAGCCGCACTGCCTTGACCGACAACAGCATCATTGAGGAGGCACTTGGAAAGTACGGTATCATCTGCATTGAGGATCTCATTCATGAGATTTACACAGTCGGCCCCCACTTCAAGGAGGCGAATAACTTCTTGTGGCCTTTTAAGTTGAGTGCCCCTCTTGGTGGTCTCACGAAGAAGAGGAATCACTACGTGGAGCATGGTGACGCTGGCAACCGAGAGGCTAAGTTGAACAACCTCGTCCGTCAGATGAACTAGAGTTCTGGTTTTTCACCTATGCCCGACGGGCATCATTAACTAGTAAACCTTGTCCCAAATTCCGAGGTTTTAATTTTGCTTCGTGTGATTTTTGGATCCACTGGATTGAATGTCGGTGTTTTCTTGCTCGTACTGGACTGGTAATTTTTTGTCGGTGGGTGTTGGATGTTACATGATTGGCCTCGGAATTGTTTCTGCTTTTGTTCTGTGCACTACCCCTCGTCCACGAAGAGTGGAATCTGAAAAGCTATGATGCGAGTACATACAGAAGTTGATTCTACCATGCCGTGACTGTTCTGTGGCACGTTTGGTGCTAAAAACCCCCGCATTCATTTCTAGAGGACTTGTCGGCATCCAAGTGTCATGGGGAGGCACTATTATTGGCATGGCTATTCCGAAGTCATTACGTGTACTCCGTAGAGTTGATCGGTTGGTACATTGAATGGTGTGTGAGAACATTGTGTCTTGCATGTAGGAGTTCACCACAAAAGATAAAAAGTACTGTTTTTCAGATACAGTACACACCCTCAAGAGCCTAGTGATTACAAGAATCTTTCTTTCAGTCAAATCATTTGGACTACACTAAAAACGCGGATGTGTCCAGGTTCTCAATAATTCTACAAGAACTCTTTGCAAATCCTAGAAAAAGCGACAGTGTTATTTCTTCACAATCTGAGTGCTACAGATATATATATATAATTTGTTAACAAATGTTATTTGATTCACGGAAGTGTCACTTCGAAAATTATTTTGATGTCACTTGAAAGCGACATTAAAAAGTTGTATCTGTATTACTTCTCATTAAACATGTGTGGAATCTAATGTTTTAAGTTCTTGCTTAACCTAAGATATAAGACATATATATAAATTATAGAATCTACATTAAGATATTTTTATACTTAGATTTTGAAATGTAGAATCCATTAAAACATCTTACAAAAATTGAAATTTTGTTAAATCCTTCTTAAACAAAGTCAACATTTTTAAAAGTTGCAATTAATTAATTAATTAATTATTTATTTATTTATATTTTCTGTTTTAACAAGAAATTGAAATTTAATTTAATATTTAATAGTGATAATGAAGGATTTTTGTACCTTTTATATTACATTTGATATTTATTTTTATATAAATGAATAAAATTCATCTTTTGAAGCTATATTTAATATTTTTTATTAATATTGATAGAGATTTTAGAGGGCCCAACTATGTAAGTTGGATCTAAAGCAACATAAAAATATAAATAGATATTATATCTTTAATTAGTACTAATATTAAAACTAGGTTTTAGTAATTTGAATTATCCACAAAGACAACAATTTGGACCTTATTAACTATGCTTTTGACATAATTTAATACTTTGAGCAAATAATTTAGACTTGTATAATAAAATCAATAGATCAAAGCAATATTATTTTTAACTTATTAGATCTATTTGTGATTATTGATAGTTATAGCTTATTATACTTAAGCATCATGTTACTATATATATATATATATATATATATATATATATAAATAATTATTTGTGCTATTACAATTTAAAATTACAAATTTAAATTTAAATAAATAATAATATCATAGTTATTAGATTCAACTCAAATAATCTATGAAATCAAATATAGATTCAATGTATTAGGCAACAAACTATTTAAGGCCTTAGAAAAATCTTAGATTCAAATCAAGAAAGTCAAGTATTAATTAAATTACAACAACAAATGGAGACAAAACAGAAACATTTGAATATTTTAGGTCATTTATTCAATTAGATACAATGAAATTTAAAAAGAGAAATAAAAACTAATACTTTAGTTAATTTAATGAATATATATATATATATATATATATATATATATACACACTCATATTACCTCAAAAATTAACAACAATAAAAATCTAAGGTACTACTTTAAAAATTAATTCTTAATCAAAGATCAAAATAAAATTTACACTATCTTACTACTTATTCTATATTTTACTATTTTATAGGAACTTCAAGTGGTCCCTTATACATTGCTAAGACTTTGGTTTTATGCTTGATTTGATACTTTATCAAATAAAAATTTTAAATTCATGTATGGATATATATATATATATATATATATATATATATATATATATATATATATATATTAGTTTGTGATTTAATTTAATTTACATATTATATAGATATTTTTCGTCTTTAAACATTTTTTATCTTTAAATATTTAGATATTTAATATATAATAAAATATGATTAAATATTCTATTTGATTTAATATAAGATTATTAGAATATAAGTTTATTTGTTATAAAAACATATATAAGTTTTAGTTTTTTTTATTATACTATTGATATCTTTCATTGCTATAGAATTTATATTCAAAAACCAAGATATTTTATATAAATTATTTTATTTGAAATAAAATCTAAAAGTTATTTAAATATAATTTAGATATTATTAATTTATATTTGTATTTATTTAAAGAATTATTTTGAAGAATTGATTTCAATATATATACATATTATCATGGATATTTGTATTTATTCCAATAATTACTTATATGATTAGATAGAAGTAAATAAAAGTAGATTAATTTCATAATATCTTCTAGCAAAGCTTCTTAGAAGCTTCATAGACATGATTTTGACTTTACACGTATTTGTAGTTGATTGATAGGTTAAAAACTTAGTTAACAAATTAACCATGTGTTACACGTGTTGGTAGCTTGTGGAACAAGCTAACTATGTGACGCACACATAAAAAACTTGTCTTGCAAAGTCAACACATGTTGGAGGTTCTATAGATCATTACTACATAATTGCTAATTAGATAGTATAAATAGAGGCATGAGTAAAGCCTTCTTCACTCTTGTTAATATCTTTTTAGTTCTTAGTCTTGTTTCAAGACTTTTTAGTCTTCTTATTTTTAGTCATTTGAGTTGAATAATATATCATTTTTGAGTGATTATATAGTCTTTTTGAGTGACACAAGAATATCTTAGTCTTTTAATTCTTTAAGATTCATGTCTTTGACAATTTGACAAGAATACTAATTTATTCTTCTTGTCTTATTTTAAAGGTGAATGAATTATCTCATTTCTATTATTATATTTTGAAGGGTGCAGACTATCTACCTTTATACAAACAATTGATTTTTTTAACATTGATTTTTTTCCTTAAAGAAAGTGGATTATCTTTCTCTATGAAATTTTTTATTTCATATCAGAGGTTGAGGATTACCTTCTTCTAATTTAACTTTTTGAATTTGTTTGAATTGTTTATGGAAGAAAAAATTATCAATGTTATTCTAAGTAAAAGTAAAAATAGATTTGTAACTATTTCAAATCTTCAAGAGCTTATCAATACTCTTAGGATAGAAATCTTACATATTTAAATAAGAATCATGGAGATACTATTCCTATGTCCATGGAAGAAGTCAATAATAACATCCAAATTTTGTACCAAGAACTTGTGTAATTAATAAAAGTAAGTAGATTAAGTTTATAACTAAATTTAAAGAGTTTTGTTACTACAAGTATAAGGGATAGAAGGATAGGTATATCAGAGAAGTTTGATGGAATAAGATCAAAATTTAGAGGGTTTTTACAACAAGTAAAGTTCTATCTAAGGTTGCATCTTTTTCAATACTTTAATGGATTTATTCTAGTTGGATTTATAGGATCAGTTCTTGCTCGGAGTATTTTTTTTTGATTTGATGGAGAATGATTTATAACTATTCTATGATTTGAATGTATTCTTGAAAGTATTCATGGCTATAATTAAAAAAAGAGATAAAAAAGATAGTAGAAATCAAACTTGTATCTTTACAACAAAGATCACCTTCAACCGTCGGATGTGTTGTTGAATTCTAAAATCTTACTTGTGATGTGAATTGAAATGAAAAAGCTTTTATCAATCAATTTTGATATGGCTTGAAAGATAATTTGAAGGATTTATTTTTGATGATGATGAGAGAAAATTCATTGGAGCAATTTATTGTTCAAGCCATTGCATGTAAAAATTAACTCTTTAAAAGATGATAAGAGCAAAGATTTGATTGAAGAGGTACAAGTCAAATTATAGCAATATCTTCTAAGTTCTTGAAAGCTTATTCGTCTAGGCCAAAGCCTATACAAATTGACACAATATGTTTTAAAATTCTTTTTGAGTAAGAAAAGACTTGTCATTGTCAAGAAGGTTTGTGCCTATATTGTAGAGAATCAAAGCACACTATTCAATATTGTCCAAAAAAGTAATGCAATCACAAAATAAAAGAGTGGTTGCCAAATAAGGCAATGTATCTAAAAACAAGTTGTTTTAGCTATAATAGAAATTGTGCAACTTGAATCTTGAAACATCTAATAAAAATCATATTTTTTTTTTAAAAATCCTTCAGCTTGTTTCACATTAAAAGTTTGTTTAGGATCAAAAAGTTGTAAATTCTTAGCCTTGTTAGATTCAAGAAACTTGATATGTTTCATAGATAAAAACTTTATCAAAAAATAAGAAATATCTTTAATTAAGAAAATCAAACTTATGCATATAAAAGTAAAAGATGGTCATTTGTTTTCTTTTGAAGATGTTACATATAAAACTAATATTTTAGATATATCAACTAATAGTCATAATAATTTAATAATATTTAATAAAATTAGATATCTTTTTAATCAGATTATTTTAAAATTATCATGGCTAAAAAAAGATAGCCTTTAAATAGATTGTATTTTTTGTAACCTTGATTTTTCTTGTAATTTAGTCCAAGATTTTACTAAGAAAGCAAAAATCTATAAGATGAATACATCCAAACAATTATTAGTAAGTGCATAAGCTTTCATGCATGCTGCAAAAGAAAGGTCAACTTTTATTATATATGCCATACTTATTTTTCATAGATAAAATATTTTAAGTAGTATTCCAAATCAATACTAAGATTATTAAGATATTTTTTTTTAAAAAATAATATATTTATTCTTTTAGAACATTATTTCTAAAATTATTCCATCGATCTTCAAGAAGGAACTCAACCACCATTCAAACTAATCTATAGCCTATTACAAAACAAGTTGGTTGCATTCAACAAGTACATTGATGAAAATTTAGCTAAGAACTACATATGCC